TGGTTAACTGATTCATATGCCTTCAATTCAGACCATCCCATCAAGCTTCATCACCACAAGAAGGGCTCTGAGGCCTGCAAAGACAATTGCCCCGAGTCCGAGCACTGCCAGGATGGCTGTCATGAACCAGGTGCGGAGTCCGGTAACTGTGGCGACGGGTGTCACAATCCGGCCGCCAAGCACTGCCAGGATAGCTGTCATGGTGCCAACACTGGCAAGAGCCATTGTGGTGACAGTTGTCACTAAGGCGGAAGAACAAAGAAAACGGATGTCTATCATCATCAGTCATAACCCATTTGAACCAACAAGAGATCAGCCTCAACTACAACTTCTTGGCTTTAATCACTCACTTTGTTTTCAGCTCTTTTTCAAGCCATTGCGAGTACGGTCTTTAGACAGTCACAATCAAGCTACATTTTTAATGTTATGTCAAGGAATATGGTGTTGTTAAACTTGTTTTGTTAACTTACCTGGTTAAATACATTTGAAAGCAGTCACTATGAGCTTATTGTCTTCTTTGGATTGTTTTGGGATTGTTATAAATCCGACCCAGCCATGCTTATTGAAGCAAAGCAGTATTCATGTCCGTATCGGACTCCCGCAAGTGCCCCTCGCCCATAAATAGAGAGATTGTTGAAACTATTACGGAATGGAAGAAATATTGAAGCAGTTTAAGGGATCCAGTGAATGCTGAAAAAGCTTTAAAGGTTATATCATTAACGCTTTCATTTCGCCTCAAAAAGCAGGTCTAAGCGTTTCGTAGATTGGTCTGATCGGCAACCGGTTGAAGGTTCCCCTACATTTGCGATTATATCTGAGGGAAGATGTCATCGCCCCATCATCTATCGACCTCGATCAATAGGCGATAAGCTTTCGTTTACCTTGCCTAGGGCTAAGGACCATTGTTTAGCAAGACTAGCCGACGTAAAGGAAGTAGGATTGGATTCGCATCTGGCGTGTCATGGAATATATATTTGATAGGAGTCAGTTCTAGTCCCATGGTCTTCATCTGTTTGTTCCATCTCATTATTATAATTATTAATCTATTATTAAGATATAATAATATAGTATATTAATATAATTAAGAGAGGAAAGGTTAGTATTAGTATATATGAAGACCTCTAGCCTCTGGTATGGTGTAAGTTGACTTTCAATTTAGAGAAGTGGGTTGACCTCGTTGTCGCAACTTGGTCTTGTTGTCAGGGCGACTTAGTAGAACGCCCCTAGTCCGAAGTCGTCTGTCATAGTAGTTGTCATGATTCCCAGCATCAGACAGTGGACTTGGTAGATTCTCAAAACGTTTCGCCGGTATCGTAGTCGGCATCATCAGTGAGTGCTGCCAGTCTTCGCACCAAGCTACGAACTCGTCAAAGAGACAAGTGAAGTCAATCCCTCGACTAATGGTCTGCCAAAAACGGTTACACTCATCAGTTAAGCGTAAGCTTCGGATGATCATGCTCTTCATTATTCCAATCTTTAGACTGTAATTGTGATGGGACCGGAAATTTAGTGCTATCACAGCATACGACTTCTTTATGAACAATTTCTGTTTGAGTGTCCTTCAACGTCCAGGAACGGTAACTGCTCATCTTCCTCTACTTTCATTGTAAATTAAATTTTTCCATCAATCTGGTTTACAAACTTCAAAAACTCTTCGAGTTTTTTTCTTCCATGTGACCAAAGTGCGAAGAAATCATCCCGTTACCGCATGAGCACTGCCGGTTGTAGCGGTACCATCTTAAAGCTCTCTTCTATTTTGTTCATGTATACATTTCTGAAGTTTGCAAATCAAATTGATGGAAAAATTCAATTCACGATGGAAGTAGAGGAAGGTGGGCGGTTACCGTTCCTGAACGTTGAAGTGATTCGTTCTAATGGGGCGCTAAAATATAAATTGTTCAGAAAGAAGTCCTATGCTGGGATAATACTCAATTTCCGGTACCATCCCAATTACAGTCTAAGGATTGGATTAATGAAGAGCATGATCATTCGACGCCTACACCTTACGGATAGAGAATTCTGGGACGAGGAGCTGGACACATTGGCGAGGATATTGCTCGGTAATGACTACCCAATCGAAGTGATGCAAAGGAACATACGGGCCGTGAAAAGTCGATGGCAGAACGGGGATTGTGAAAGGACAGTAAAGACGATGAAGGATT